AAAAAAAAAAAAAAAAGACTAAAGGTTTAAGATGACATGATGAATATTAAGAATGCTAAACTCCCTTCTCAGATAACACATCTATCTCCATTGCTGCGTGATAAAGACCATACATTACACCATAGTTACAGTTTAATCAATTACTCTGAAGAGGGGAGTGTTTTACCTCAAAGCCAACTGTTCTGCTCTGACTTCTGATTAAAAGCAAATATCATTGCTGAGTGCTGTGAAAATATGCACTCAGCTGACAAGTTTGCACACCTTTGTTATTATTCCCTGAAGTCATCATTACTTTATCTAGGTACAGATTGTCAGCTTGGCCATAACCATGACTGTACCACCAGACGTCAAGACAATTCTTATTTCCAATAGTCTAGCTGAACAGAAGATCATAGAAAAGTGGCCTCAGCCCTCAAAGAATTTATAATAGACCCAGGGACACAAAATGAACGCAGATAAGTCACATACGACAGAAGATAGTTTAGAAATACGGAAGGCCAGGCTGGGCGCCATGGCTCACATCTATAATTCTCGCACTCTGGGAGGCCAAGGCTTGAGGATCACTTGAGCTCAGGAATTGTAGACCAACCAACCTGAGCAAGAGTGAGACCCCATCTCTACTAAAAAACTGGTACCTGTAGTACCAGCTATCAGGGAGGCTGACACCATGGCACTCTACCCTGAGGCAACAGAGACTCTGTCTAAAAAAAAAAAAAGGAAAGAAACATGGAGGGCTAAATATTGAGGTAGAGAACAGACTTTTAGGAATTTAGTCATGATGTACTCAAAGCAAAGCCGTGGACCTGAGTTGGCCAAATATCACTGCAAATGCATCTACCTACCCCAACAGACTTTGAACTTAAAAGCAGAAGATGACATCTTTGTGTTTCTAGCCTAGGGCTCATGCCTCCATATTCTTTGGAGAATGCTCCCAAAAGGGGAAAAAATTAAGGGACAGATATTTCCTACACATCATTCTCAATTTTTGCTTTCTAGGTGTCTCTGTGAGCACGAGCACCTGTTTATAGCTTAATGCTTCCTTCCATAGTATCTGGGGAATTAAAAGAAGAAAAAGAAAAAACTCATTGCTTTATCTTCTTCAGACATACCACATAGTCTAACATCTATACTATTACACATGCAGAAAAACCAAAAACTGTCTTCAGCAGTGCTGTGGAATCTTCTTCAAGATTGGCCTCAAGGCCATAGAGTGGGAAAGGGAACTTGAAGAGGTGAAGGGGAGAAGCATTTCTGTGAAGCTAAAAATGACCAGGTTCAGACTAAAGCGTCAGGATAAAAATTCTGAGGATCATTTTCCCAGCCAGGAGAACTAACTAAAAGCTGAGAAACAGCCAGGTGGCTGTCAAAAGGCTGGCAGGAAGGGCCGGAAGTACATTCAGTCACAGAACCTAGTGACAGGGACTCGGTATCTTTCACTTTTTTAGCTCAGAGTAGGTGCTGTAGAGCTGAAAGAGCTGTAGGTCCTCCCTTCAGAAGGCTCACAGACTGTGCTCAAGGACAAGGCTGCCATGCCATCCAGCTGCAATAGAAGAAAGGACCAAACTCTCTGAAAGCCAGAGGATACCCCAGCGAGCAGGCCTGGCATGGGGGCCAGGTCAAAAAGAGGCATGCGTCAGGCAGAGTGGAGGGAAAGCCTGCAAACAGACCAAACCTTTGGAACTAGAATTACTGTGACTGCAATGGTTTGAAAACTCATGTTGCAACTTAATCCCCAATATGGCATATCATGAAGTGAGGCCTTTAAGAAGTGATTGGATTATGAGTGCTCTACCCTCCTAAATGTATTAGTCCATTCAAAGATCAATGGGTTAATTGATTAAACAGTTATTGTGGGAGGTAAACTGCTGGCTTTATAAGAAAAGGAAAAGGTGGCTGGCCGCCTGTAGCTCAATGGTTAGTGTGCAGGCCACAAGCTCTGGGGCGGGTAGGTTCAAACTGGCCTGGGCCTGCTAAGCAAATAATAATAATAATAGCAAGGCATTGTGGCAGGTGCCTGTAGTCCCAGCTACTAGGGAGGCTGAAGCAAGAGGATCACTTGAGCCCA